GGGCTGGGTGTGCAACAAGCCCAATGGGGGGGTATAGCCCCCACTTGGGCCCCCCCAAGGCTGCTTGACCCCCCTGGACAAGACCTGGCTGAGGGTGACTGCCGTGTTGATTTCACAGGTTTCACAGATATTCAGGTTGGAAGGGACCTCGGCCCCCATGGACTCGATGATGCTGGGAGCGGTACCCAAGGTGGGGGGGATGCTGCTTCCAGCCCCCCCAGCACAGCTACGCCAGCCCCCCAGCACAGGGGGTCTTCTGGGGCAGGGGGCATTGCAGCCCCCCCGCCCTAGGACACTGGGCCTGCAAGGGGGTCAAAGGGGTCAAGCTGCTCCCCGCACCCCTCCAGCAAGCCCCAGCCCCTGCGTGCCTCAGTTTCCCTGCCCCGCGCATGGGAAACTGTGGGGGCCAGAAGGTGTCATTCAGAGGGCCTGGGGGGGGCAGCAGCAGGCCTAGCCCCCCAAAGACCCTGCCCCGACCCCATCTTGCCCCTCGCTCGGCACCCCATGTCACACAGCCCCGATCCCCAGGTGCCCCCCCACTCACAGCCCCTTACCCCCTCCAGAGCAGGCCACAGGTGCCAGGGGCTGGAGGGATGCCCCCGGCCCCACCCAAGCAGGGACCCTCCCATTATGACCTCACTGTTTACTAACCTTACCCTATTCCCTCATATAGAAGACATCCCCAGCCATTACTGTATTCTCTTGTATAGAAGATGCTGCTCTGACCCCTCCCTTGCTGACCCCCCATTCCCATTTGAAAACGCTGGAGCAGGGCACCAACCATTACCGTATTCCCTCATGTACAAGGCACAGGTCTGACACCCTTTCTTAAACCTTTTCAATTCCCATTTAAAAACAAGCTGGGAGAGGGCAGGCGGGTACACCCGTTACCGTATTCCTTCATATACAAGGCACAGCTCTGCCATCCCTCTGTTCCCACTAAAAAACAAGCTGGCGGGGGGTGTGCAACCATGACCGTATTCCTCCATGTACAAGGCGCAGCCTCGAGACCCCGGCCCCTTCCTTATAACCTCTTCCATCGCCACGAAAAAGGAGGCAGGTCCGGTGGGTAGGGGCAACTATTACCGTACTCCTTCGTATAGAAGGCATGGCTCTGATGCCCCTCCCTGACAAGCTCTTCCGTTCCCATTAAACAACAAGGTGGCGGGAGGGGGGCAGCAGGGCCGTGGTCCCTCGAGATCAAGGCGCAGCTCTGACACCCTGGCCCCTTTCCCATCCCCACGAAAGGTGGCGGCAACGATTACCGTATTCTTTCTGACACCCCCAGCCCATCCCCGGGTCCCTCTCGGACAGCCGCTTCCTCCCCGCGCAGACCCAGCCGGGCCGGGCCGGGCCGGGCCGGGCCGGGCCGGGCCGTGGGGGGCTCAAGCC